ATACACATATATATATACATATATTTTAAATTTGAGTACTTGGTCCTGAGAAGGAGGCTTAGGGAGTCCCCAGAGGGAAGCCCCTCCAGGGCAGGAAGTGAGGCCCTGGAGGTAACATGGCTCACCTCCCACAGCTTGGGTGGATACCAAACTAAAAGTAACAGTAATAACGATGTTACTTCTGGCTGAAGGACTCAATGCATTTTGAGTCACTGTCCCAAATCAATGAATATATTTTAAAATCCTGTCGGCTTTCATATCTTATCCCTCTCCGATGACACCAACTTACATTTTTTCACGTGGGATTCGTGATAGAATGGAAGAGGGGTGCCTATCCCCATTTACAACCAAAGGAATTATGGTATAGAGAGGACATTTGGTCCGAGCTCAGACACAGGGGCAATTCAGGCAGGCCCTCATGCCTGCTGTGCCGTATCTCTGTCCTAAAAGGATGTTAATTAAAAATAAAAATAAAAAAGGAAAGGCTGCCTGTCTCTCAGGCAGATGTTAGGCTTCCCCTCCACCACCAGCCCCAGCCTCACCCTTCCTTAGGGCCACTTCTTACTCAATTCAGTGCGGAAGGTCTCCCTGGCCGTCCTCCACCCACAGGAGTCTGTTTCTCGCTCCAGGCGGATATTTTCCACCAGTAGGTACAGGACACTCAGCAGCACCCTGGGGTATAGAAGGATCACAAGAGGTGCCCGAGGCAGCTCCCAGCCTACAGCCAGAGACCTCAGTGATGGTCTCTGTGGGAGTCCAACCCAGTGGAATTAGCCACTTCTAGTGGTCTGGGTGCATCTGGAATTTGAGTAAAGGGTAACCCATTGCTAACCATCCCATTCCAATCCCACGGCTAGCCCCACTCACCGGAGCTCTGTGCTATCAGCAATGGAGATGGCTGGTTTTCGAACAGCACTGCTACAGGCCTGGCTGTTGCTGCCATGGGAAGGAGGGAGAAAATGAGAACCCATACGGCCCCTTTACTCACTGTGTTCCCACCGACCATACACACAAACATGAGTACCTGCTATTCCCTGGCTATGTAGCTATATAGAAATTGGTCTAGCCCTAGCTGGTGTGGCCCAATGGATAGAGCATTGGACTGAGGACTGAAGGGTCCGGGGTTTGATCTGGTCAAGGGCACATGCCTGGGTTTCGGGCTTGATTCCCAGTAGGGGGCGTGCAGGAGGCAGCCGATCAATGATTCTCTAGCATCGTTGATGTTTCTAGCTCTCTCTCCCTCTCCCTTCCTCTTTGAAATCAATAAAAACATATTCTAAAAAAAAGAAATTGGTCTAAGGTAAAGGAGCCCATAGAATTCCTCTGTCACCTCAGCATAGGACATGAAGATGGGCAAGGGTAGGGTCTATGATATTCCCTCCTCTTGTAATCCCCACTGTGGCTAGTACTGTGCTGGGCACCAAATAGATGCTACACAACACTTGATGGATAATAAACAGATTGCACCCTATCTAAAACTCCTGGGTGATGGACATGAGATAAAATGAGGGTTCACTACAGTGATAAGAGCAGATAAGGCCACCTCTAGAGCTACAACCCACGAGGGAAAGAATTGGGCACATGATAGGAACTTGGCCCTGTCCCTCTTGGGTCATGTTTTCAGCCAGAAGAGCTTTCTTCATGGATTCCAGAGTTAGGATGAGCTGAGAAGGGTTGGATAAAAAGGCAACACACCCAAGATAGGCTTCTGAAGCCCAGGATTGAAGCTGTAAGTGGGGCAGAAGCAGCTGATGAGCCCAACCTGGGGGAGGACAGAATATCAGAGAATATGGCTGAGAGGAGGGGGACTGTCAGTGTAAGCTTTAGACCAACATGTGAATAGACCCAGCTCCACACAGGGGTCTCTATGGTAAGGGACTCAGCATAGGACATGAAGCAGCCTAGGACAGGAAGGGGGTTGTCTCAGCCAGGCCCCCCCACCACCACCACCACCCACTAAGGCTTCTTACTCGATTTCCATGTGGAGTAGCTCCAGGAAGGCTGAGAAGGTCCCCATCTGATAGAGCAGGAAGCAGTTGTATCTGGACCAGTGTAGCACATCGACCTCTGAATCACATTCCCCAAAGGTGCCTAAAGGACCAGACAGTGCCACAGGGGTGGAGGGGAGGTGACTATCCCAGTTCTTTCCACTCTGCCCCATGATTTTAGGACCATCTTTCAACATCCTGTCCAATAATTTGGCTGACAAGTGTAGGGCAAGGGCCCCCCAGAACTTCCCAGAATGAGGCAGGGGAGAGGAAAGGCAGACTCCAGTTAGGTCCAAGGTGCTCATCAATGGCCGATCTTAAGTTTGAGTTCTCTGAGAAGTAGATCCAGAGATGAAAATTCAACCACAAGCATTGTATTTAGGTGATCCCAGGAAACACCAGCAGTGAGGTAAGGAAGAGAAGGCAGCTCAGAGCTCAATCCCAGGTGGGGAGAAGCTCTGGGAAACAGTATAAAACACACAACTCAAAATCATCTTACTCAAGAAGGGTGAGGTCGTCGGGCTGTTCGCTCACTATCTCCTGTCAGTCGCTGAGGAGCGCTGCTGGACCAGGGGAGCACATTAATTCCCCAGCACTCCTGGTCACACTATGTGTGCTGCAGAGAAAGCCCTCAGGCAAGAAGGTGAAGGCAGAGGCACCTGGGAGTTGGTCATAGTACCAGACCCAATAGATATGGTTGGGCATTTGTTTGCTATAGTCTTCCCTTCCCCTTATATCATGTCCACTCTCTTTCCTCTCCATTTATGACTTCTATAGTTTTTAGCTCTCAACTCGTCAGTTCTGCCAACAGTCCTCTTATTTATAATTTCAGGGTTAATTTTACTATTCCAATTAGGCTATCTTATTTCTCTTTCCAACACCTGGTAACAGTTCTTTTCTGGAAAACTTTCCTCAATCTTATTGAGTTCTGATCATCTCCAAATTACTCACAGCATCCACTCCTGCTGCTATTTTGGCTTGAACCTTCTAAATGCCAACAAGAAACAATGCAGAGGGTCCATACGTGCATCTGTGGCACACCCTGCCGTCCCTCCGTGTCAGGGCCAGGTCACCGATGAAAAAAGAAGTCTCCGTGCTCAGCTGGTAGTGCTCTGTCAGCTCTGGCCATACTGACACTCTTGCTAGTCTCCAGATACGATTATAGCTCAGGTTAAGGAAAAGAGAAGCCATAAGAAATCCTGATATGCCTGGTAAGATAAAGGTTGATTCCAAGGGATCCAGGGCAGTACCTACTACCATCTCATCTTCTTCATAAGCACCAGGTTCCGCCTAGCATGTGACAAGATCTGTCCTTAAAAGGCAGGGACCTTGCTTTTCCAGCAAGACTTACCCTATCCTACGCCTGATAACACCATTTTTATCCCTAGTCTCCACCCCTCTAAAGTTGGCAAAGGTGGTCACTCACCTTGGGCCAGGTAGAGAACAGCTCGGGCCACCTTCAGTCGCCGCTCTCTACTGACCACCTCCAGGCGGTCCAGGAGTCCCATCACATAGGCCTTCTGGGCATCTTCCTCCAACTCCAGCCATTCCTTGCCCTGTACTGGGGACAGGCCATATAGATCCAGTGTCAACCACTGCCTTCCCTTCCTGGAAAAGCTCCTATCAGCATAGCCACCTCTGATCTCAGCTCCCTAGACATTCTTCTCTTTAAAAGCTTTCCTTATTTGGCTGAGGAAATATAAGGGATGGGAAAAGTAAATGACCCAAAAAGTTCTTGCCTGAACCCACTCTGCTGCCTCATCTTCTTGCACATCCCCTCCATCCTCCACACACAGCTTATACTGTTCTATCTTTCTGTCTTTCTTCAAGGTGTTCCCTCTATATTCCTACTTATGCAATTCCTGTTCATCATTACAGATCAAATACAAAATTACTTCTTTCCCACAAATGCTCCAGGAAGAAGTTCTATCCTTAAAGATACTTTTTACTTCTTTTTTGACACTTACCAGTTTCTCTTGGCCTGAGCTAGTTTTGTGATATACACATCTCCCTTCTGCTATCTAACTATAATCTCTTTGAAGACACTGCAAATTCACCTTCACCCCTGTCTCCTGCATCTCTGGCACAGAACAGGGTACTCACCACACACTTGTTGAGTTGAAAATTGAATTGCCACTGACCAAATAAGGGAACGGAGGTCTGAGAGAATCAGTGTGGACACATGAAATTATTATTAGACTAGAGGCCCAGTGCACGAATTTGTGCATGGGTGGGGTCCAGCCAGCCTGGGCTGGCGG